ACTTTTACCCATAAATATAGTTTACCTTAAAACACACACACACACACAGTGCTGTTCAATAAAAAGTGACTCACCTGATTTTTTTTTTTTTTTTTTTTTACTAAAAATATTTTTTGTCTATTGTTTTTGGGGTTAAAATAATTTTTAATCTTACTAATATAAAGACCCCCTTCCCGACCACCTAGGAAAAAAGTGTATTCACCCTAAGGTATTCTATTCATAATTATAAATTTGGATATAAATGAGATTCAGGAAAAAACTGTGCAAAAAAAAGTGACTTGGATATTGCATTCTAATTATTAAACTGGTAAATTTAAAGAGCTTTTGACAAAATATTGAAAACTATTTTACAATACACTCAGAACAATATTCTAGAGAATTCTAGAACAGCTTAAATTAAATCTAGAATATTCCAGAATATTCCAGAAAGCCTCATACAGTATAAAAACAGCTTGAAATAGCCACTCAAGTCACTAACCAGATAAGAGTACAAACATGCATCAGAACCACTTAAGGCATCTATTATTGCCCTCTTAAAAGCAGGCAAGTCTACGAGAGAAATTGTAGAAATTGCTATAACCTCACAATCAACTGTCTCTCGAGTACTTAGGGCACATAATGATGCCACTCCTGTTCCAAGGAAGGAAACAATGGGACGAAAGAAAAAGATTGATGATAGAACTGGCAGGGTAATCAAGAGAGAAGTTGTGACGAATAGGGTGATAACTAGCCAAGAAATTGCATCCAGTCTAAGCGAAAAGCAAGGTGTTAGTCTTGCCTCTTCAACAGTCCGTCAGAACAAGGTTACAAATCTTGTTAGAACAAGGCTACAAATCTTGTACACAAAAGGTTTAAGCAAAGCCAAGAGACTTGAATGGGCTCACTATTACAAAACTTTCACCGTAGAAGACTGGAAGAATGTTCTCTTCTCTGATGAAATGAAAGTTGAGCTAAATTCAAAGGGTAAGGTGAGTCACTTTTATCGAACAGCACTTTGTATGTGCGTATATATATATATATATATATATATATATATATATATTAAAATTTTTTTTTATAAACGTTTTTGGTGGTAATGTGGACTTTAAAAAAAAAGTATGTTTTATTTTCCATAATTTTGCTACATGCGTTTCTGGTCTCGCGACCGTCATCAGGCAAATGTTGGAGATTTACACATATTATTAAAAGTAATTCATTTTTTTCTTTGTTTTTCAATGTTAAATATTCTCAATATGAGACATTTTCTTTTTTGTGTTAGTGATCCAAACGTCTTCCTTGAACTAGCAGGGAAAAGTTTTGCGTGAAGTGTTATAAAACAATTAAGATTAGTTCAAGAAATGCAACTCCAAAAATGTGATTTATGTACTCAAATGCACAAAATGCAAGAAGTCATATATAGGTATCAGTCAACAACTGAACAACAGGGTCTCCCTTCACAAAAGCAACATAAAATTACCAGACAACAGAAAACTTTTTTGTATCACAACACATCTTCAAATGTAAACAGGGAAAATTTTAAAATTATGCCAATATATCAAACAGACAATTATTCTTACCTACAAATACAAGAAAAAAAAACTTCATAAACAAATTTAAACCAGAACTAAATAGATCATAACCCCACACACAAAAGCATGCAAAATGCACACATAATGACCAAATACAGTGATCAAACCACTTGCATGCATGCATGCTCACATGTTGGTGTTTGTGGGGCACAAATGTGTGTGTGTGTATATATGTATGTATGTATGTATGTATATATATATATATGTATGTATGTATGTGTGTGTGTGTGTGTGTGTGTGTATATGTAATATATTTATTGACAAAAGCAGGAGAACTACTCACATTCTTGATGATGACACACAAACCCCACACAACTTTTGTGTGTTTATATATATATATATATATATATATATATATATATAAATATATATATATAAATATATAAATAATATACTGATTCCATGTAACTTGGGAAGTATGTGTATGTATGTACTGATTCCTTATAATGGGATTGTGTTTGTGTGTGGGTGTGCAGATGTGTTCACTGATTCCTCGTAGCGAGACAGTGTGTATGTATGGAGAGGAGATATACACATATATACACACAAAAATGGAAATAGATCTAAGAACACACCAGGGTCATTAAAAGATAAGCATGCCGATAACTACTCCATCATTTCTCGAACTAATCTTAATTGTTTTATAACCCTTCACGCAGAACTTTTCCCTGCGAGTTCAAGGAAGATGTTTGGATCACTAACACAAAAAAGAAAATGTCTCATATCTAGAATATTTAACATAAAAAAACAAAGAAAAAAAATGAATTATTTTTAATAATATGTGGAAATCTCCACCCTTTGTCTGATGATGGTTGCAAGACCGGAAACACATGTAGCAAAATTATGGAAAGTAAAACATAATATTTTTTTAAAATCCACATTACAACCAAAAACGTTTGCGGCTTCTCTCTTCTTTTTAATATACACACTTTTCTCTCATTGGAACTAATATAATCTCTTCCTTTTATTTTATATATATATATATATATATATATATATATATATATACACACACACACACAAATGTTATTAATAACTACATCACAATCAGTTATTTTCTTGTGGATATACTGGTAATAATATATTCTATGCATTTTTCTATTTTTTAAAGGCAACAAAAGGATGGTCATGTTTTCCAATATAAAAGTATTTTTCAAGAGTTGTGTTCATACTCACTAAATTATAAATAAGTGTTGCTGTTTGAATGTTAACTTCCCACTCTGCAAATGTAATGTCAGCATTGTTTTTGCCAACTGCTCAGTTTGTAAGCTTCTTTTTATTTTTTTTTAATTTTATTTTATTTAGGGCAGAAAGTTGGATCAATGGTTTTGTTTTGTGGATTAATTAAATAGATGGGAATACTATTTAACCACTTGGTGCTATTTTTATTGAAAAATGTCACATTTTCCTTTTGAGATTGATTTCACGATTTTCAGTATCAATGTGTAGTATTTGTGAATTATCTTATCACCACTTCATCACTGACAGAATAAGAAAATCTGGAACTTAAAAAAAAAAAATCTTAACGCTTCTCAGGAATCACTTCACAACATTTCTTGAACATTACTGTTTGTTTTTGAAAAAAGGAAAAATAGGATGTTGGTTTACTTTATGGAGTGTAAAAGTCACATTTACAAGGTGTCAGTATAAATATGGCCACTTGTGAAAATAATGTAGACTTTGAGCTTAACTGAGACTGAGAAAGTTGTGCTATTTTTAGTAGAAAGACTTGTTTGCATGATGTTGACACAATATCTTGCCAACAACACCAAGAAATATCTTAATCAGTTCCAAGTGGTTAGAAAAAGGACAAAAATGAATATATCATTTGTCATATATTTTGACAATGTTCCATATTTTCTTAGGAAAACTTATCAAAAGAATGTTTTTAAAGTAATGTCTCTAGAAATCTGGCATTCATTATGACTTATTTTAATAACCAAATACGTTATATGAAATATATCAAAGGTGATCATTTGATATTTAAAATCATGGCAAAAATGTTGATAATTTTTTTTTTTAAGTTTTTCTTACAGAAGTTTTAATTTTTCATTTTGAAAACTTTGATATTTATGATAAAGATTATAAGGATATCTACTTAATGAATGTCAGAAATGTCAACTCTAACCCAGGTTTCAAAAATGAAAAAAAAAAAAAAAATCGTCTGTAAGCCAAAGTTGTTTTCCAGTGAATATTTAAAAGCAACCTTTAAATATTCAATAATATTTAATCTTATATATTTTTTCTTCAAGGAAGCTTAATTTCCAAAACAATTTTATTAAAAACAAAAAAAATAACTGAAAAAATATTCTTGTAAAAATTGAAGTCTATGTTAGTTCAGTACCAACAAATCCATAACAAAACACCCAGCCTCTTATCCCAAAAGTGGATAAAATTTAAATTTAAAATTGAATTTTCAATGTTAAATTTATTCACATTTCTGCTGAAATTTTGTACTGTTACCAAATCAACAGTATGTTAATTTTTGACAAATTAGCTGATCCTGCCCCATCTCATGGTTTCCAATAAGTTGCATCTTGCTTTATGCTAACACTCTCCTGCTTATTCTTTCTGCTTTTTGTTTCTGCAATATTCCATCTCTGCTTCATCTCGAAAACAGAACCACCCTCCACATTTTTCCCCTCACTCAAACTCTATTCCAAATTTGATTTATTTTTCAAGCATTAAAAAAGAAATGGTTTGGTCTATTTTAGTTAGTCATAAGTTGTTAAACAAATTAAGATTCTATAGATTTTATTGTCATAGTTTAACAAATGTGTGGCATCCTTTTCATTGCCAGCCTTGAATTCTATTTTGTAGCAATTTTCATTCAAATGAAACTCCAAGATATTAATCTCTGCTTAAATGAGTGAGAATTATAGCTTCATATAACAAACCATATTTTGTGTTTTCTTTACAAAGGGCTACAAATGTATATTCAATAATTTTGGAAAATCACCACTTAGTCAGAAACCTATTAAGAATTTAATATTTTTACTAATAATTTTATACAACACCCTTCTCCTATTTTTATTATTTATGTTAGAGTATAAAATATTTTTTAAAGGACTTCTAAAGTATTTTGGAAATATGAAAGGAAAGTGCTATAAAAATTCTTTGTGTTGTTTTAACACAAGGCAAAGTAAGCACTTATGTGCTTACACACAGACACACAAGTTTAATAAAGTTAGAGCTAAAGATATTTCCTGTAGACTTAGAAAATGCAAGATTCATTCAATGTTTACAAATATTATTTTTTCTAAAACTTGTGCTATTCAGCACATTATATTGGAATCAGATTTTAAGTTTTCATTTATACTTTTTCTTTCAATTTTCAGTTTTTATTTTGTTTTGACATTGAGCTTTTCTCTTTTTTTAATATTGTTTTATTTTATTTTTTAATTTAAAAAAAAATTTGTTCAACTTTGTTAGGCATGCCTGCTGCTCAAAATGCTGGTCAGTTCATGAGTCCAACACAGTCCGGAACAACTGGCCTTAACCAAAGAATGGGAAGTCTTAATTTGGGTACACCAGGTATTTAAACAATTTCTCTCTTTATCAATGATTTTTTTTTTTTTTTTTTTTTTTTTTTGTCCCAAAAATTATTTATGTAAATGTTGTTGAACATATATTGTGCTTCTTAGATTGAAACTAACACTCATGCAAAGTCATGTTATTTTACAAAAAATTTTACTTTTGGTGATTAATATAACAATTTGTATATTTTAAAATTTTGTAGATGCTATATCATAAATCTGGTTGCAATTAGTATTGCTATTGACAAATATCAGTGAAGTACAAATTGATGGTATGCATTAACCATGTTTCTGTTTCCTATATTCCCTGCCAAATATGAATGACTAATATGCAGAGAAGTCCTGAAGGTGCAATAAGGTAACTAAAAGGTTATAGAAGGGACTATATATATATATATATATATAAACTCATCTATGCAACCTCGACAACCAATTTTTAAAAAAAATGATAAATATAACATATCACAAATGAAAAGTTACATTCAGTCTTACATAACTTCCTTTCTTATTTCCCAACTTTATTCTTCAAAATATTACAATTTGCGTCCTAGTGGCTTTTTAAAAAAAAAAAAATTTACTGCATTGCCTGCAAATAGATTAAACAAAGATATCGTTTAAATACTAGCTGAGGGATGTCATTGTTTAAAATAACAATACCAGGCATAAACAAGGGGGTTAATTTATTTTGGGGAGCTAGACACTATTTGAATGGCACACAAATTCATAAAACTAAAGCATATTCATAAAAATTGTTAAATCAATTTTGTGTTTCCAAATTTAAAACTGAATTGTTAATGCAACCACCATGATTACTGACATATAAGATGCATATTTGAATTTAAAAAAAAAATATGATGTAACATGTGTTGGCATCTAATAAAGTTCAGAATAGACAACTGTGGAACTTGATATGTCTTGAAAGCTGGCAGATAATGACAGATATTTTTTTTCATACTTTTATCTCCAACTTTTCTACAGTCCATACTATCAACTTAGTTTCTGTGTTACTAAGCCCTTCTTGTTTTTAGAGGAAAAGGTTTTAGTCAAACAGTGTTTTACTGATTTTGTACCTTTCACTAACTTTTTTTTTTTTTTTTTTTTTATGGCATGTCTACATTTTAAGTACCTAACTATATTAGTGTATTATTGAGATAATGACTATTTTAGTTGTTTGATGAGTTGAAACTGGGCTGCTCAAGGCTAGAAAGAACACATAGGTTATGAAGTATAATTCAAACTCTTTGTTTGGTATTTTATTTGCTTGTTTCCTTCTCTTTCAGTCATGCAGCAACAGAACCCATCTGGTTCCATGGTTGGTACTCCTGCAGGAATGACTGGCACTGGCTTACAAACAGGAATATCTATGCAGTCAACAATGGTTGGATCGTCTTCATTCCAGCAACGAACAAATCAAGCCTTCAGTGAATTTGGCAATTTAACTAAATAAGATTTGTGAACTTTGATGAACTAGAAAAAAAAAAAAAAAAGATCAATTGGAGAGGGAGAATAAAGAAAATGGGGTGACTAGAAAGACTGTTCAGTTAATGCAAACTATTGGTGATGCTGTACATACTATAAATAACCATGTGTATGAATGGGTGGATGAGCAGATTGCGTGCATATGTCATTTGGTTAAAAGACCTACATAATATGAAATACAAAAATTAAACAAATATTGTGGAGAATTTTTTAATACACTTTTAAACATTCCTCAAGTCATTCTGGGTGTTTAAAATTTAAAAAGCAAAAAAAAAATTGGAAAGATGGGGGAAATCTAAATTTTCAGGGGAAATTTTTAATTAAGTTTATTTTATTCTGGTGGTAAAATTCTGACACATTGTCAGGGTTTCTTTTTTTTTTTTTTCTTTTTTTTTTTTAAGTGCATGATTTGTTGATTGGAATGTTCTGTCTTTTTGTAACAGAATTTATTTCCTGGATTAACAGATTTTTTACATCAAAAAAATAAACTGAGTATCATGTCTACAATATACACACAAACACACTTTTATATGCTTAATTCAAAATTTGGGTTCTACTAAAGACTCAATATCTTGGTTTAAAAGGAATATTATTGGTATGAAAATCAGTAATGAAAAATGTATCAAATTGTTTTTACCAAATTTAAATGAAAAATGTGTGTAGAAAAAAAAATATCAGAAAATGACATTTTGGTGACCATTTGAGAAAAAATATCCTTTTTCTTTTTCTCTTTTGTGGTAGCAGAGAAAATATTTGTCTAACAGTTAAAACTGGAGGTTTTAGGGAATTACTTTTTCTTATTTTTAATTCTTGCAAACATAAAAATGTAATCAGATTGTTCCCTGTAACCTCTTGGATGGATAAATTTAATAGAAATTGGGAACATTAGAGATAGCTTGTTTGGATGCTACCTATGTTAAAAGCATTTCAATCAGTCATTAGGTGATTATTGTGATCCAGTTCATTGTTTTGTAATATGATTTCAAAACACCTAGCAGCAGCAATGAAAGAATTGACTGAAATGTTCTGACTATACAGCTCCAAAGGACCAAATCTTGGCAATGCTTTACAAATTAATTTTTTACTTCTACTCTAAAAATTGGCCTTGAGTATGTGGTAATTTATTTGGATGTGTATTTGTGTTATTGCTACATGGTATGTGATGTAGGTCATCGCACACATGAAATTTCATGTGTATGTGTACACATTGTAGCTACATTAGAGATTTAGTTGCAATTTGGTTTCAATTCCACCCTAATCTGTTCTTAAAGATTAGTGCAACATTTTCTTTGCATATAGCTACCATTAAAATAAAAATGCATCAACAAAAAAACTATTTTTCCTTGATTATATTGATTTTTTTTTTTCCCTAAAAGGAGTAGCAATTTCCTTATTTTTCTTTACATTTATAAATAAAATATAAATCAATATTTTTTTAATTTCATTATTTGAACACCATAATTCTATAAATGGATTAGTTTCTTTAGTTTAACAACTTCATATTTCTTTTGATATATCCCCCACCACAAACTTTTTTTTTTTTTTTTTTTTTTAGTTTCAACTCACTTGGAAATGAGATGGTTGGTTTACTTTATCTACCAGAATAAGCTTTGCTATTTCACCACTAATGTGTAATCTCTCCAAAGAAATTCAATCTTTAGTGGAACAACAAAGATAAAAAATGTTAATCAGAAGAAAGTAATAAATTGTTGATGCCTCGTCTCAAAACTACATTTCTTGATTTTAAACATTACAATTTTTATTTTTTATTTTTTTGCTTAGATTGGTTTCTTTCCTCTTTTTCACTAATTAATGCCATTTCTTTTTGAGGACTTTGCATTCTCAATATTGGTAATTAATTTCTTAGCTGCTGCTTAATCTTGTAAAGATAGAACTTTTAACAATATTTAAAACTCATTTCAAGTTGATTCAATGAAAAAAGAATAAGACTAATTTTAGCTAAAATATTATTTGCTTTTTTTCTTTTTTTTTCTTTAGCTCAAGAGAAATTGAAAGGCCAGTCAGCTTTTTGTCTTTTCTCAAAATATATTTGAATTTTATTTTATTCCCATATCAGACAAATTCTCTTACTGCATGAAGATATCTTGGAGTCAAAAATCAATTCCAATGTAATCCTATATTAGACAAAACTCTCCATTAATATAACTTTTGAATAAGTTTTTGTGCATTTCTCCAGAGATTATTTCAAAGGTTTATTAATTGAGAAATAAACACAGAAATATATTGCAATATGAATTTTTTAGTACTTGTTTGGAGAGTGGGGGAGAAAGGGGGGAATAAGAATATTCAGTAATAAATCAGAATGGTTGATATAACAGTTTGGTTTCAATTCCACCCTAAAACTGTTCTTAAAGATTATTACTTAAAGAAGATAAATAATTCTATAAATTTTCTTCATGATTTCTAACTTTGAGCTTTGTTTATATCTGTTTTCTGGAAGTTAAGTTTGCATGCAAAGGCTGCCTAAGTCTTCTTTTTTATTGTTTGTAATTGGCTACCTGAATTATTTTTCAGTTTTTTACTTTCAAAAATGAAACTAAAACACAAATCAATTCTTCACTGTAAAGAACATGCAAGACAATGCAAGTCATGTTTAGGTGAAATCAAATAAATGTAATTGTAATTAGGTTTTGACTCTACTTGGATAGACATTTACAAGACTTTCATTTCAATTCTGTCTAATTGTGTAGAATTGGGTTTTACAAATACAAAAAAAAATACTGATTAAAGTACTTTTTCATCAAGTGTCTTAAAGAGCCTTCAGAAATTTTCTCAGAAAATGTGTTTAAAAAATCTTAGTCAATTTGTCTTGCATGTCTGATTTTTCTTTTTCTAAAATCTTACCATTTTTCAAGGGCCAGTATTAAGTAGTCGCTTAAAAAAAATTTTACAAATTTCAAAGATAACAAAATTAGACGTGCTTTTCTTTTGCTGTTTTTCCCTGTTTACAGCTGCAAAATTATTTCTTACTTGTATTTGTTACATTTTACTTTAATCTGTCTTTATGGATGATATCTAAATTTTACCAATCCTTTCAGTAGAGACTAACTTACTTTTTAAATGTTGAAATTTTATGCTTCCAAAATTTTTTTTTGAATTACTCTTATGACTTTTTCATATCATTTTAATCATCCTTATCGCAAGTTGAATGTTTACGGATAATTTTTGAAACATTTGTAACTGACTTCTTTTTATAACCTCAAATATAAGTTTCTTTACTCTTCAATTTTCTTGGACATCAAACTAAAAAAAGAAAAAAAAATGTTAACTTTCATTTGAGCCGAGAGCAGAAGTTTAATTTTTCACTTTTTTTAATAGCTCATGTATATTTTAAAATAAACTCTCTCTGATGTATGCTTTTTTCTAATAATCATTTTACATATTCGTAAAGCGGTAGGCTTGAGTTCAATCCCTAGAATCAAAACAAGCAGAGTATCTCCCATCTTATGCTCTTTGCATGTGTTTATAAAATTGCATTATTCAAGAGATATAAATTTAAACCATCCCTAGTTAAATTTTATTACTTTTTACGTTGGCATTTTTCACTAGGAAAAATGACATTTCCTAATTCAGAAGTTTGTTACAATTCTCTAGAATCATCAGTAAACATTACCTTTTCAATAGTTATAAAATTAAACAATCCAATAAAAAGAGTTGGTACAGAGTTGTTTCCCTTGTGTCTTGTAAAAAGTGGGACATTGTTCATATTTTCTTTATAAATTTGTTACTATTTTTGCTAAGTAGAGAATGTTACTTTTCTAATGCTGGTTAGGTCAGTATCCTTAATTGGATTGATAGCCTTATTTTGGTGCAGTTCTTGTTGCTCAAACAAGACTCTTGGATCCTTTTTTTTTTTTTTTTTTTTCCTCAGGCAGTGGAGGTGGTGTTCTGAAGGTACTCCAAGGAATTTACTGTCACTCCGTCCATCAGAGATTGTTGAGGATTCAGGATCCAGTCTTCTACATAGTCATTTTTAAAATCTATTGCAATTTTAAACCATTGTTTCATTACATTAACATTCATCATTTTCTTGTAATGCTCATTTAATTTTATATTTCAGAAGTATGTGGACTAATTGTTAAGAAATATATTGTTCATTTTAGATCCTTATGTCCAATATCTGCACTCTTCTCATCTGTAACTTTTTCAGAGGTCAAAATATCTTTTTATTTTTTAAACTTCCATTTTTTTTTTTTTTATTCTTGTCTCTGCACTTAATATGCAATTTCTATGTGGCTTGACCTGAATTGGTGCTACTTGTTTGGTTCTATTTTCTCATAATTTACAAATCCTAGTTTAATGTTTGTCCAGCATCGCTGATTTTTCTTATTGATTAAACTGAGCAGAAATCTTTAACCAAACTTTTCTTTAGAATTTGGACCTTTTAATTCTGTCCAAACTACCTCAGTTTTATGTGACTGTTCTATTGGCTTGTGCTATTCAATTTTCCAGCAACATGAGTTTTTATTTGCTTATATTGGTAGTTCTAATGAGTCTTTACTTCTTGTGATGAAAGGTTTATTTAATTAGGATGTTATTTGTTCTTGTCTCACTCGATACATTGAAGCAATGTAAACAAATTTGATTTGGTTACTCTTGTAGATCTTTGCCGTTGTCTACAGTCAGCTCATCTTTAGTGACTCATTAAATCATAAAAATGACAGAGGTTGCTTGAAAACAGTTTAGGTATTCTTAAAGAAATTTTCAAAGTAAATAGCAAAGATTGAAGAAATATCTAAATAGACCATGTTCAATAGATTGAATTACATAATTGCTTGCTTGAACTGATAGCAAGTATTTCTCTCGTCAGTATCATTAGTAAAGCATACAGAAAAATTTCAAGGTTTTCGCAGATGCAAAGTCCCAAAGAAATATGCTGGTCCCTAAGTTAACTTAATCTGCCTCTAACTTTGCATTATATAGTCAAATCAGCATCCAAAGGAAAAATGTTAGCAAATATTATTAGTTTTTTTTATTATTGTTACCTATATTTTTTTGGTGGGGGGTACAGTTTACTGGTTACAATTGATCAGATAATACTGGAAATTGTTTCTTTATTTCAAAAAAAACAAATACTAATTCTTACAATTTTATCCTAAATTTTTTTTCTTCATCTCTTTGGAGTTTGATTATTTTTTTTTCTCTTGTCTCTTCCTTTTGAAACAGTTTTATCATGAATATTACTTGTTAATTCTTACTCTGTAAAAGTGAAATGTGTATATTTTGTAATAGTTGGAGCGATATTTAATAATAGATGATGTAACAAAAAATCATTACTTATATTGATTTGACATGGAAGAAAATACTATGAAATTTTTTTCCTTATAGATATATTGTCATAAAACAAAGCCTTGTATAACAACATTTATGGGAGCATAACAAGGAAAATACTACAGATATTCAAGTTATTTTCAAATAAGACTAACAGGAGATATATATACATTCACACATACTTAATGTGGTTTTTGCCATATTTAAAAAGCTGAAAATTATTGAATATTCTTTCTCTTTTTAAAACTTTGGTTTTTCTAAATTTTGCTAGCAATTTGTGAAAAGTTGATTAAAAACATAAAATGGTTTATGGAAAAGAAAAGCTTTCTTTGGTTACCTACTCATCCTCTTCCTCTTGACTTTATACATCTTTTAAATGTTTTATTCTCATTTAACCAAAATTTTAAATTTTTCTAATTGAGGAGACTGCTTCTTAAATTGCTTCACAAATCCCACCACCATGACCATTACCATTTTTCTATCAACTGGGATTCTCCACAATGAGCCTCAGGATAAAGAGACTTGCCCAATTGCTAGATTTTTTCATTCTGTCACTTTGTTTTTGCTTTTCTCATTTCAATATTTGCTGCTGCAACTTCCTCCACAACAAAATCTGTTTAAGATCATGAACATGTTAAATATCTTCTTAGCCTCTTGTCCCTGATTACAAATGCAATAATATGTTTATATTGGATACAATTCAAGCATTAACATTTAAGAAATCAACAAATAAAATCTTAAATAGAAAAGAGGAAGTAAACTTGTTTAGTTTTCATAGGTTTCATTTAGTTGCTAAAGCATAACAATGAAAGTTTCAGAATTTGATGTTTTTTTAAGCTGTTGATTTCTTTTTTTTAGTCCACACTAATAATATAACTTTTGTATAAAAAATTTAATTTTAATATTCATTTTCTTGTCTATCTTCTATAAGAATAGAAACTGGTTTTATTTTTAAATCATTTTATATATTTTCAGTAAATTAAATATTTCTTTTCCTAAAATCAACAAAGAAATTCTTTTAACCTTAGCAATTTATGTACATGTAACACTTACTCCAATCACTACCTCAACACACATACAATCTAACCTTTTTGGTCTGTATCAATTAACTTTTTGAAATCATTAATTCAAACATTGGGCAAATCTCACTAACCTTTTAAACTCACTGTGTATATTCCATTTAAATATTTGTAAATTCCCTAATATTAAAATGTCAGCCTATACTCTCTCTCTCTCGCTCTCTCACACAGTAGATGGGCTCTATCTCTCTTTCTCTCTCTTACAACAGCTGTACAGATAAGTTAGGGTGTACTTACCAGCCTGTCCACTCGCCCCATCCCTTATGAAGCATCCTTCCTCAACTACCCTTTCCATATCTAACCACATTTCTCTCTCTCTCTCTCTCTCTCTCTCTCTCTCTCTCTCTCTCTCTGAGTTATCATGCAATGACAAATTCAAATCAAGGAGATGAAGATGAGAAAGGCAAAAAAACAATGTTGATGTAAATAATGCTCTGTGGATTCTAAATTTGAGCAAAGGATCAAAGAATAAAATGTTGAAGGAAAACAAAAATTCTTGTTGAAATTATTTTCTTCTTCTTCCTTGCTTGATTTACATTTGTTTTTCAGCCTTTAAGCTTCAAGATATCAACAGGTCACTGAATGGCTGATGAAAATTGGCCTGGGAATGTTTTGTTAATTCCTAAGATTGAGGAAACATTATTGATGAAAATATTTATTGAATTGCAGCAGGTGATTGCTCTAAAGCTAATAAGGTTTGTAATTTTTGATTCCAAATACTTTATTTTCTTCCTCTCTTGTTTTTCTAGTAAAAAATCAGAACTAATGAAAAAAAAATCACTATTATACCATTTTCATATTTACCATAGTCAAGTACATTTTTTTTCTTAAGGGATTTTCTGACTCACTCTTGAACTAAAGAGCACCATTTATTAATTTCACATTTTTAACCATTTAAATGATCCCCACTTTTTGTTAGGGACCCTGATGAGAAAAGTTGTAGGCTCCCACCTTGTATTTTGCTCCTAAGGGTACCTATATACATAAGTAGATAAATAAATCTGTAGCCTAATCATGAAAAAAAAGGATTTATTTTATAGAACAGATTTTTCAACATAATTTTCTATGTTAATGCAAAACCAAATTCTTCTCCATTAATTCAAAATTCAGTGATTAACAGTCAAACTAAACTCCTTGATAGATCAGTGTAGTCTCTGCGTTTATGTGTGGAATGCTTTCTATATTTCCTTCCAACACATTGTCATGATTTATGATCTACAGATTTAGTAATCCTTTAAATCTGCAGCTTTTATTTGATCATTTATTCTAATCTCGATTGATGAAAAATTATTTATAGAAATCTTTAACTGTAAAATAAAGTCCAATGCCCAAACCTAAGAAGTTAGAAATAAACTTGCAGCTACTTTTTAAAACTATAAATTTTTATTTCTAAAGAGGAAAATGCTCTGAAACTTTCATTCATTCAAGGAGTATAATTCTATACTTACTGGAGTTATAGTGATTGACATTTTTTTTTATTATTGTTAGTAATGCAATCAATTACCAAATACTTTTTATTACTTAATAATTATTTCTTCTGATGACAGGTAGGGATTTTAATTTAATTTCTAATGATTTTTATTTACAAAATTTAGTATATACTCTCAATTGCTTTTATACTGAATTAAATGAAGAGCTTTATGAGCCATGACCATTTAGAGATGGAGTTGATGTCACAGGAAAAAAAAGGTGGAGAATGCATAATCAGATTGTAACTATAATTTATTATGTTAAAAACATATTTAAGGAATAAAAAAAATAATTTAATACACATAAAATTTTGATTTATTTTTTCCATCTAATGAATGTTATAATTTTAATAATTACACAGACATATATTCTAAATATGTATTCCAATTTGTTAAATCATTTATCCATTTATTTTTAGCCTAAAAATACAAACAGAACATTCTGTAATTGATATTTGTGCAAGAAGGTTATCATCAATGGAGTTATTTTTAAAAAAAACAAACAACAAATAATTGATATCTGTGTGAAAAAAAAAAACTGATTGTTAAGCTCTGGAAAAGAAGGTAAAAAGTTACAGGAAAATCTCAGACAACCTGAATATTCCATTTACTACCATTAGTTCATTCATTGTAAGGTATAAAAAAACTCAAAACTGTTGAAAACTGAAGAACATGCTCCACAGAAGATTTCTTTAAGATCTTTGAGAAAAATTAATGTGTCAAAATTAAAAAAGTGGTTAAAAAAAAAAATGGTTACTCGTCAAGAGTTGCAGGATGATTTGCTTTCAGCAGGTATCTGTGTCACTAAACAGACAATAAGCAATGAAAGTCATATGAACAATCTAGAGTCACGCTCCCTTCAGAAAACTCCATTGCTGTTGAAAAGACACAGATGCCAGGTTGAAATTTGTTCATAAGGATAAGGAAAAATCGTATTGGGAAAGAGTATTATGGACAGACAAAACCAAAATTCTGTTGTTTGGATATAATTCTAAAAATCATGTATGGAGGAAAGATGGCGATGCCTTCAAACAAAAGAACATAGTTCCAACAGTGAAGTTTGGTAGTGGCAGTGTCATGGTTTAGGGATGTTTTCTGCAAAAGGTACTGGTAACATTAATAGATGGCAGAATGAATACTGCAGCATATCAAAGTATTTTGGAAGCAAATTTAATGATTTTGGTTGAAAATTTTGAACTTCCTCCTGATTGGATCTTCCAACAAGATGATCCTAAGCACACTGCAAAATCTACGAAGAAATGACTTGCTGAAAATAATGTAAATATCCTGAAATGTCCAAGTCAGTCCCCAGATTAAAACCCAATTGGCAATCTGTGGTGTTATTTGAAAATTCAAATCCAATAGAGCTCCAACAAATATCCCAGATCTGAAGACCATATGCAAAGAAGAATGGAAGAAAATACCAACTAAAATTTACAAATCATTAATGGAGAACTACAAGAGGTTGGTTGCTGTAGAAGTGAATAATGGCTGTTCTACAAAGTATTAAATAAAGATTATGTATTCCATTTTGTATTGTATGAATACATTTTTTTTTTCACCCATTAAAATGGATAAATGGAATTTCTCTCTTATATCAATTTTTTTTCTTATTTCGATGCATATTTGGTTATTATGCATCTGTGTACAGTTAATTATATGAAAAGTATGTTTATTCATTAATTAGAAATACAATAAATTAAAAATTTATGTGTACAAATATTTGTTTCCCTCACTGTATATAATACTAATACTCTAATCTTGTATATATGTTTATACTTGAGTTATAGTCTAAATTATACATAATACCCAAACCAATTTTTGGAGTATATTTACCTTGATTTTTTTGTCTGAGTGCCATATTTCATTAGAAAAGACAAGTGATTTCTTGAGCTAATATAAATTTTTCTATTTTGACAGTATTTTTTTATAGGAAATACGGTATTTGTTTGTCAATACATATTCTTATATCAATCCATGTATATAAACAAGCACTTAGATATTATATTCCATTTATTATGGCAATTTTTCTAAGCATAGTTTAGATGTGGCACAAAATTTGAAAGTATGGGGCACAATAAAGGATTTTCGCTATTCAGTAGTAAAAAGAAAAGTTTAGTTCTAACCATTATACCATGTCAAAGTGCTCAGGTTTGTTCCAATTATGTGTGAAAAATAATAAACCTTCATCAAACATTATAACAGTGTTATTAAATATGTATAATACAATATATATTTATACAATTCACTGCACTACATTAGAAATTTTTATATACAAATATCTCTTTTTGCAACTTTGTTCATAGGTGGGATCTTTTTACGTGGGTGTGTCATAAATGAAAACATAATTGGCATGGCATGGAAAATTGTCACATGACTTGATGGTAAATAAATAAGTAAATGCATGCTGGTTTACCACCATTACATATTTTGAAATTTTTGTGAGGAAGAAACTAGAATGTATAATAAAAAAATATAATTTTGAAAAAATTACCTAGAAAAATTAAATTAATGTACCAAAAGGAGGCATTTATAAATTATTTCTTTCTTTCTTTTCTTTATTTTTTTTTTTTTTTTTTTCTTTTTTTTTTTTTGTTGGAATGACTATCATTGAAAATTATATGGTAAATACTAAAATTGGTATAAATTGTCACCCCGGGCTATATTACTTGAATGGAATGGTTTTTTAAAGAAAATGATATCAATTTGTAATCCCATTCTATCAAAAACAAACTTTTATTGTGTTTCATCTAAATAATATTGTATAATGTGTATAATAATAATAATTGTAATAACTTGTATTGCAAAATACAAATTAAAATAATTGTAAGTGATAATATTGTTACTGTATCATTTTGTATTATGAACTATTTTTTAAATGGAACCAAACAGGCTTATGGATGGTCTAGTTAAAGTTAAATATAACATTGTACTAAATGCACTACTTATGACTTACCATTTTTTGACATAATACATTCATTACCCACCCCTGGGGATGATTCAGGAGAGAGTCAATTCTTTTAGACATGGCCATTATAAAAGTTTTGGAAATTTTGTATATCAACAACTGTCATCTTTGTGAATGATCATTTGTAATTTGGAGAGGGCAATAGACAGACCTAAAATATCTATAATCTTTTATAATCTTCTAAATAAATAGGAAAATTCTGTCTGTCCATCCAGTGTATGAAAACCCCCACTAACTAGAGCCAGACTTGCTCTACATAGACATATCTTTTTGAAATCAGGATAATCTGGGGATTAAAATCTGCCCTTCGTCTGGTACTTGAATATCCAGCATTGGGATTTGTGTCCAGATGGGGAGGAACATTAAAAATTCAAATTTTAAAATAACTGGAAAAAAAATTAGTGATTTTAAGTTTTTAATTTATATTGAGTTTAAAGTAACACAAAAACTTTGAATTTAAAATTTTTTGTTTTAACTTCAGTTTAAAATGTTTCCAAAACTTTGAATTTAGAAATCGATTTTATTTCTTCAAAATGCCAAGAAATCTGAGTTAAAGTGAAAGGTTTTTGTGACATTTGAAATTTAGTTCTAATTTGTAATTTGAAGAACTCAATTCAATGGAATTTTCTGCAGATTTTGGGATTTTAAGAACTCCATTTTCAGCCCAAATTGATCTTTTTGGTCAAAATTGGACTTATAGCCTGGATCAGAGTTAAAAGTGAGGTTTTGAATTTTCATGGAGTGAATTGAGGAATTCAAAGTTATTTCTTCAAAAATTATCATTGCTGTTTTTATTTGGACCAGAGCCCCTTTAGCGTTCAGCTGCAAGGAGTCCCTCAAAAGTCTGCATGAGAGTGCAACTTTTTATCTGTATGTATAAATGTGTGTGTGTATGTATGTAAATGTATATATATATAA